ACACGACTTCCTTTCTGACAACAACATTAAAGCTAAGAAACCTGGTCCTCCTCAACAGGTATGGTTTATATCATTGATCCTTGAATCTTTCTCTGATAAATCCATATAGCCAACCCGCAAGAAGCCAGGCCGTCCATCAAAGAAGGGCCAGGCAATCAGAACTGATCCACTTCCTGATCAAGATACTGTCATGTCTTCCCAATTTCTTCAGCCTCTCACACCTCCCCAGAAGGCCAACAAGAAGGATCCAAATGCTAACGAGTACACTCCACGTACTGCGCAGGCTGTCCGGTTCAGCATGCAAATACCTATCTGGCAGATTGAAGTGTCTCATATACCAAAGAAACAGCCACGTCACGGAACCACAGAGTCACCAGATATGAGGCCACTGAATAGGCTCACCCGGTTAGAGAAGGATGGATGGACATGTCTTGGAACAACACCTACAGCAAATGTGTACAGGCTGTTCCAGGATTTTGTGATTCTTTATGTTTTATATTATTATGATACTTTTACTGATTTTTTCTTGCTTTTTACAGGAGAATGACTACTCACCTCAGGAGTACAAGATCTCCAGTGGTCTCATCTCTATGCAGTTCTTTGGTCATCCTTGTGATCGGCCTAAGGACATACGTGCTCGCTCCTTTCTTCTTGAATGGGCAACTCAGGATCGCAAAGTTCCATCAAAGTACAAGGATAAATCTCGACCTGTTTTCCGTGTTGAGTATCAATGTCTTGGAAGTTGAGTGAAGAAGAGGAGGAGGAGGAGGAGGATGAGAGCAATTCAGAGGATGAGAGTGAGAATAATCAAGAGGAAAGTAAAGGTGTGGATAAGCAGCTCAGAGGAAAGTGTGTCAGGAAGAAGCAAAGTCCAAAGGCAAGCAGCTGCCCTAGAAAGGTCAAGATTCATGTGCGTAATTATTTTTTCTTTTATTTCTTTACTCAACCACTATAGGTTGAGGTCATGACAAATGATCTTTCAAATGCTATGGTCTGGCAACAGTTTGTACACCCACAGGCATCTTGAAATGTCACATTTTGTTCGGCAGAACATCTTAGAGCTAGCCTCACTCGCAAATATGACAGCATCCCAAATTAAACTTAGTATGTTTTTCTAAAATTCCTTTGTTGATTGTGAATAGTGCAACTAATATATTTTGAGGACTTTTGGCCTTCTGCGATCAACACCAGGTTCCACGCTACCGCTGGCCTACTCCAAGTCAAGTCAACAATATTGTTCAGAATGTCTGCCATAAAGAAAGGCTTCTCAATGATCCTTTACTTGCAATTGGGCTTTTTGCAGAGAAAAATCCTGATAAAATCTTCTAGTGTGTTTTGTTTTGCTTCTA